TCAATCCCATGAAAATACAATATTAAAAGCTCTTGTATGGTTATGAGTGTCCGCTTTACTAGACAGACCCTTAATATGATTTAGTTATTTTACTTTTTATTTTAATAAAAAATGTAAAGAATTTTTTAATTGTACCTATAATGATTCATTTATTATACTTTTTCACCATTAATTTACATAAAAAAATAAAAATTAACTTTTATTTTATTAACCATCTAATTAAATTATTCTATATAGCATTAGTGTTAAAAACAAAATTTACTTTCATAATTTTTCATATAAATTAATGTAAAAAGATATAATAAATGCATCATAAGTTAGAAAAATCCAACATTGAATCTTAATATTTGAATTTTATAATTAGCTTAGAAGAGACAAAAATTCCTTTGTATTTTTTGGTATAATTATAAGTAAGGGTGAAAATGAAAAGATAATGTCACAATTATTGTAATAAATGAATTTATTAGTAATCATAAATGGATGAAATAGAACAGTTCAATCACACAAGAGGACTAGAGGAGTGCTAAAATTCATAAAAACATAATTTTTACTTGGGAATTCTTTGATTTAAATAGAGAATTCAATTAATAAAGGAGGTTCATAAGTGTGAAATCTTAATAGAGTGAATTTTTTTAAAAAAGAAATTTGATATTTTATTTTAAAAAATTGATAAATAAATTGAAACAACTCATTTTAAAGAAGTGCAAGTACGACAAATAAATTTCAACAAATAAAGTAATAATTCAATTTACTGCCTGCTGTCTGTATGCTTTATAATGTTTTCCACAAGTGGAACTGTCCGTAAATTCATCATCGCCTCTTATTAGTTAGGGAGGTGGGGTGCTTTATTTGCAAAGTATTAAATTTAAGCAAATGACGAAAAAAGAAAGTTAAAAATATTAAAATTTATTTATTTCTTTTCTTGAGACAGATTCTTTGAGCATTAACATAAAATTAAAAATGATAAAATATTGGTATGATGTCCCACTTGTTTTTTCCTATTTACCCCGGCCGTTTACGTGTATAAATATCTGTCATTGCAAGAGCAGGCATTGCACCCCCAAGGCATTCTAAATCATTGGTATTAAGGCGTCACCCTTGTTCTTCCTCCTGCTACTTCAGTCTTTTCTTGTTTCTACCTCTGCCTCTTCCACCACTTCTGTACTTAATCAAACAGAAACTCTTCTCAAATGGAAAGCCAGTCTTGACAACCAAAGCCAAAGCTTCTTCTCTTCTTGGGTTGGGGACAACCCCTGCAATTGGGTTGGAATTGCTTGTGATAGGGTTGAAAGCGTCACCAACATAAGCCTTCCAAATTTAGGTCTCAAAGCTACACTGGACAACCTTAACTTCTTGGCCTTCCACAACCTAATTCACTTTGATGTTGGTAATAATTCACTTTATGGGGCCATTCCTTCTGACATCGTGAACTTGTCCAAACTCACTTTTTTCAATTTGTCTGCTAATGGTAATTTTTCTGGAAATATTCCCAAGGATATAGGAAGGTTGAGTTCGCTTACCGTACTCGACCTTGCTTGGAGCCAACTTAGTGGTTCACTTCCTGTTTCTGTAGTAAATTTAAGCAATCTGTCTTACCTTGCAGTCGCTGGCAATAACCTCAGTGGTTCCTTGCCTCAAGAAATTGGAATGATGAAATCACTTGTTGTGGTTAGTTTTACATTGAATTCCTTTACTGGTCCAATCCCTGCATCAATAGGAAATTTAAGCAATTCTAAATATCTTTACCTTTCTAACAATCAGTTATCTGGTTCTATTCCTAGTGAAATAGGAAGGTTGAGTTCACTTTATCGACTTCAACTTGAAGGCAATAGGCTCAATGGTTCTATACCTCAAGAAGTTGGGATGCTGAGATCTCTTTATGAGCTTGATTTTTCTAGTAACTCGCTAACTGGTTCAATCCCTACATCAATAGGAAATTTAAGTAACTTAGTGCTTCTTTACCTTTATGACAATAAGCTCTCTGGCTCTATTCCTAGTGAAATAGGAATGATTAATGGTGCACTTCTAGCCTTGCAATTGTCAGAAAATAATCTCACCGGTGTTATCCCTGCTTCTATAGGAAACTTTCCAAGACTTAGAGAGCTATATCTTTCCAATAATAGCTTATCCGGTCCAATTCCTGTAGAAATGAATAACCTTACTGGTTTGGTACATTTACAATTGCGTTGTAACAACCTTGTTGGCCATTTACCTGAGAATATTTGCCTTGGGGGACTTCTCACAAACTTTTCAGCACAAAACAATCATTTGACGGGTCCCATCCCAAAAAGTTTGAAAAATTGCTCTAGTTTACTTAGAGTAAGGCTTGAAGGGAACCAACTTGAAGGGGATATAACAGATGCTTTTGGGATATATCCCAAGTTGGATTATATTGATTTGAGTAATAACAAGTTTTACGGTAAACTTTCTCCAACTTGGGGTCTATGTCATAACGTCACAACCTTGAAGATCTCCAATAATAACATCTCTGGTAAGATACCTCCTGAGCTAGCTCAAGCCACTCAATTACATGGTCTTGATCTCTCTTCAAATCAGCTAAACGGGGAGATTCCTAAGGAATTAGGCAACTTGACTTCATTAGTCTATCTCCTGCTAAATGATAACCAACTCTTTGGTAGAATCCCATTCGAGATAGGACAGCTACTCAATTTGGAACAACTCAATTTGGCAGCAAACAATTTGGATGGACCAATTCCAAAACAACTTGGAAAATGCTTCAGGTTATGGAGCTTGAACTTGAGCAAGAATCAACTTGGGGAAAATATTCCGTTTGAAATAAAGAATATATTAGCCCTTGAAATTCTTGATTTGAGTTGGAATATTCTAATGGGAGATATTCCACTGGATCTTGGCAGATCTCCAAGGTTAGAAACACTGAATCTTTCTCACAACATGCTGTCTGGATTCATACCTCCGTCTTTTAATGAAATGCTAAGCTTGACAAATGTCAACATATCCTACAACCGGTTGGAGGGCCCAATCCCCCATATCAAAGCCTTTCTTGATGCCGCATTTGATGCTCTTAAAAACAATAAAGGCCTCTGTGGCAATGCCTCTGGCCTAATGTCTTGTCCATCCAAAAGTCAGAAGAAAAGTTCAAGAGGACTTGTGATTTTGATTGTTGTACCTGTTTTGGGCGGTTCGCTTTTATTAGTTATCTTGGTGGTTTGTTTACTTCTTGTTTGTTGCAAAAAAAAATAAGCCAAGAATGGGACAATATCAAGATATTTTTGCCATATGGGGATCTGATGGGAAAATCTTCTACGAAAACATTCTTGAAGCTACAGAGCAATTTAACTCCAATTACTGCATTGGCTCAGCAGGATATGGAAATGTTTACAAAGCTGTGTTGCCAACAGGTCGAGTAGTTGCTGTAAAGAAACTTCATCCCTCAGATGATAATGAGACCATCAATTTAGGAGCATTTGAAAGCGAGATTCGTGTTTTAACAGAAATACGACATCGCAACATTGTCAAGTTGTGTGGTTTTTGTTCTAATGCAGAGCACTCATTGTTGGTCTATGAGTTTGTAGAAAGAGGGAGCTTGAAAATGGTTTTGAGCAAACCAGAAGAAGCAGCGGAGTTGGATTGGGATAAGAGGTTGAACATTGTTAAAGGATTAGCTAGTGCCTTATCTTACATGCACCACGATCGCCCATCACCAATAATCCATCGTGACATATCTAGCAACAATTTTTTGCTTGATTTGGATTATGAAGCTCATGTTTCTGATTTTGGCACTGCTAGAATTTTAAAGCCCGACTCCTCAAACTGGACATCCTTTGCAGGCACCTTCGGCTATATAGCTCCAGGTATTTTATTTTATATCATTTAATAAACTAAATTATCATATTGTTTACATTACTAACTAGACTTGTTTCTGCAGAGTTTGCTTACACAATGCTAGCAAGTGAAAAGTGTGATGTCTACAGCTTTGGGGTGGTAGCAATGGAAGTACTCATAGGAGGATGTTATTTCAGGAGACCTTATTTCAGATTTATGGACAACGAATGGCCAACAGATGCTGCTGAAGGATGTTATAGACCAGCGCCTTCAACCTCAAAGGAGGAACCGAGTAGCTGAGCAAGTGGTTTCAACAACAAAGCTAGCCCTTACATGCCTGCATGTCAATCCCCAATTGCGGCCCACCATGCGGCAAGTTTATCAGACACTTATTAGTGGTCGATCATCTCCATTGCCAAAGCCATATTCAATGATAAGTTTAGGGGATTTGATTGGAGGTGGACATGGGGTGCAGAGCTGAGGAGTTGCTGATGATTTGGACATTCGCCATAATTCTTGGTATGTTTATCATTTATCCTTTTTGATATATCTACCCTTTTGTCTCAACAAAATCTATTTCAATGCTTTCTATGTTGCTCTCTTCATGATGCATTTATTAATCTATAGTCACATGCTGCTATTTACTGATGCAGTGGAACTGTTCCATATCCATCCTACCGGTTGCCAGGACTTGCAATGGGCTTGAAGAAATGTTGTTAATTAGCCTGAAGATGGATAGTTACGTTTATCCTTCGTTCCTTTCCTTTCGCCTCCTTGTTGGCTCCCGTACTCGGTCGTTTTTAATTTCCATCTAGATAACGTAATTTGTGTATTGTCCGTTTCTGCTTTTCTTGTTTGTGTATTTTTGTGCTTATTTCTTTTCTTATAGCTTGGTGTAAGGAGACTGTGTAGAGTACATCTTCAATGAAATTGTCTTTTTGCTAAAAAAGTTTCTCCTCAAGATGAGGGATTACTTTTTTTTCTTTTTTTTTAGTAAACTCTAATATTTAAAATTTACATTATATTTTAATTAATTTGAAATAGATTTATGGCAAACTCCATAAGAAAAAAATCTCTTCTAATGTTTGTCTTTTTATTTATAAACTTTAAATTTAAGATCTTAATTAAAGAAATCAGATCATTTTTATTTAACCAATATATTATTGATATATTTTTTTATAAATGTAATAATTTATTCTTTTTTGATAGGGTAAATGTAGTAATTTATTAAATAAAAAGTACAAGAAATATTTAAATCTTTATACAAATTAAATTTTGTTATACAATTGGATAGTGATTAGTATACATTTTAATTCAATATATTATATAATATATTTATTAAAAAATTATTATTTTTTATCTAAAAGTAAAGGTAAATAAAATTAAAGATGCAACCAAACATATAAGATGCAAGAACTAATTATATTTATATTATATTTTAATAACTGAATTAAAATAAGTGTCAAAAAGTATATTGAATCAAGTGTATACCATTCATTTTTTATATAATTATATCAAACCATGCGTCATGTTCCATCTCTATTGAATCATTTCCCAGCCTTTTGATAAGTTGAATTCTCATTTATATTATTGTGTTAATTTTGCCTAACTTTTATTGATATTTGGATGGCTTTAATGTGATTTTGTATGATTTTCATTGTTAGTGCAAGAAATGGACCCAATTGGAAAAAATAAAAACGATTAGAAATTCAGAACAGAATTGTCCAATAATCAAAACCTAAAGGACGAAACTAAAAGAGAGAAAGTTGAAGTAAGAGATTCAATTTCCTTATTGTGGTGCAATGGTGGTCACTGCTGTCCAAAAGGGCAGCCGGTAGAATGTACTCCTGATCCTAGATTCAATTCCTCTCAGAACATATACTAACTTACTAATCTAACCATTTCTTTTATCAAAAAAAAAAAAAAAAAGTAAGAGATTCCGATAAAAGAATAAAAGGTTTAAAGATTAAAGTGAACAAAAAGTTAAAGTGGAGAGACCGAGACTGTCATTTAGAATTGAAGAAAATTGCTTTTTAGCCCAAAAGTCCGACACGGACTTCTATTATATCAGGGAAATTTAAGCAGGGTGTCGACACCTCATGTACGATGTCGATCCCTTGCCAATGTTATGCACTTTCTCATGGATTTCTAATTCTATTTTCCATTGGTGTGAGTGCCAGTTCCCACTTATAAATGCCTATTCAAGACCAAAACTCTAGTTTTGAGGAGTTGATTTAGAAATTTTTATGATTTTTATGTTTTTCACATTGATATTCATTATGAGTATATATTTTATATTATTTTTAATGCTCTTCAATACTTAATCATTATTAAAATTAATTCAAAAGAATATTTGAAAATAAGTGAACATTTTTTATACAATAATTTTTAATAGACACTGTAAATTAAATAAAAATTATGAATAAATTAACGTAATTCCTATAGTATTAAAGGCGAATAAACTCTCAAAATCTTATCTAAACTAATAAATTTCATATAAATTAATGCATTTTTGTGTAGTAAAATTGAACCACACTTAGCACAATTTTAGAACTAATTATTATAAAATCATATGTGATAACAAATTATTAAATGCAGAAATAGGCTGACTAACTTCTGAGCATGTTATATCAAATGGATCAATAAACTTGAATGATTATGGATTATTATAACTTCATAAAACTTCAACATCAACGGTCTTACTAAAGACTCAAGGACACGTGCACATAGGGATGGAGCCAGATTTTTAGGATAAAAGGAGTAAAATTTTAAAATTTTTTAGAGTTATGATAAGTTATATTAATATAATTTATATTGATTTTTAATTATCAATTACGTAGTTTGTTAATAAAAGTTTAAAGTTTGATCCATAACTTTATGTATAAAAAATTATATTAATTTTTTGGAGTGGAGCTCTCTTGCTACCCAAGAAGGTTGTTAAGAGTATTGATGCTGCTTTTAGGAATTTTGTTTGGACAGGAAAGTGGGATCAATCAGCAATGGCACTTGTGGCTTGGTCAGATATATGTGTTCCTAAAACTGAGGGAGGCTTAGGAGTTAAACAGTTAGCTAGTTGGAATCGAGCTGCTTTGTGCAAATATATTTGGCTAATTTGTAAAAAGCAACAAGACCTTTGGGTACAATGGGCTCAAGTAGTTCTACTAAAGGGGGAAAGCATATGGAAAGTAAAGTTACCAAACGATTGTTCCTGGTCCTGGAAGCAGATTTTGAAGATGAGAACTAGTATTAAAGACCAAGTTTGGGTTCAAATTGGGGATGGCAGGCAGACATCTCTTTTTTATGATCTGTGGTTGGAAGGTGGAAGAATATGCGATCTGGTACAAGTTAGAGAAGAGTTGATGGCATGGGGGCATGGCAGTGTTGTGGCTAAATGGTGGAATGCTGGGGCCTGGCATATGCCGGACAGTTTTGTTCGTAAGTACCCTTCCCTTGCCCAGTTAATATCATCTAAAAGCCTCCAAGATAGGGAGGATAAGGTTGTGTGGAGGCCTACTGTAGCTGGTGGCTTTTCTATTGCTAGTTGCTATAATTTGTTGAGAGTTAAGCAACCGAAAGTTAATTGGCATAGGCTAGTTTGGTCAAGTGGAAATTTTCCTCTGCATAGTTTTATTCTATGGTTGGTTGTGCGTGGTAGATTGAAGACTAAAGTCTTATTGGCATCCAGGGGTATGATCATTGATCTAGAATGCTGTTTTTGTGGGGTAAGTATGGAAAACATTAAGCATCTTTTTTTCCAGTGTGAATTTCCCAGAAGTGTTTGGAAGTTTGTCTTGGGATTTTTTCAAATTCAGAGGAAACCTTTGTCTTGGACAAATGAATGGAGATGGATACTACGACATGGAAGAGGAAGAGCTATTATTAAGAGGAAGCTCCGTGCTGCACTAGCTGCCTCAATATACTACATATGGCAAGAGCGGAATATGCGGTTGTTTAAGGACAAGTCAAGTACAGTAGATAACATTAATAGGAGAATTTCTTACTTTTTGAAATTGCAATTTTGAGTATTTAAAGGATGTTAACCCAGGGTATGCCCGGGTGATTATTGTGGATATGTGGTTTACATGCAATGGAAAAGCTTGCTTTTTTCAAAAAATTATATTAATTTTATATTAATTATTAATTTTATATATAAATATATTAGATATAATATACATGTCAAATTTTAAATTAATTAAATGTATTTAATATTTTCAAACGAATGATATAAAAGAATAAAAAAACTTCAATAAGTTGGATTTAATAAAAGTTATGCAAAAAATATTTTACACTATTATTTCAATGAACTCTGCTTAAAATAAATATATTAAATTAACATATTTTTAAGATAAAAATAAAAATTATATTAATATTTTTTATAGTACTTTATTAAATATTTTAAAATATTTTTTACCTTATTTTTGTTGGAAGTTTAATGAATAAATACTAATCTCATTAAGCAGAGAAAAAAGCCTGTAACCATTTGGTGGGCTGAAAACCGACCCGAACTTTGGATTTCGGGTCGTTGAAATGGGCTTCGAGCCTAGAAAATGGTTTCCGAGTAAGCCCGAAAATTTTTGGGTCGGTGTTCGGTGCCCAAGCCCAAAACCGGAAAACAGGATTGGACCACCAAACAACCGAGCTTTGTTTCAATTTGAATATTATTTTTTTTCCTTCTCGTTTTACGCATGTGACACGCGTATATAGGGGTAGATTATTATATTTGACTTTTATAATTTTATTTTCAAATTTTAAATCATGTTAGGAATCAATTTTAAATATAAAATATTTAAAATAAAATACATTAAATTAATTTAACCATCAGATCAGATCCAAGGAAGGAAATTTACACCATTAAATTTAAGGTTGTTTAATGAAATTTTTTGGAGTTTTTATTTTTTAATATTATTTATGAATTATAAGTTTAAATTTTTATTAAAAAAATTTAAAAGTTATTTTTA